CCGCGCCAGCTCCCGGTTCGAGCAGGGAGCAGAGCATCCTCCTCCCGGCCTCCCCAGCCGCCCGGGGCTGCGCCCTGCTCACCTGCACCCGGGCTTCGGTGAGGTCGATTTTGAGGGCCAGCTCCTCCCGGGTGTAGATGTCGGGGTAGTGCGTCTCGGCGAAGACCCTCTCCAGCTCCTTCAGCTGGGAGCTGGTGAACGTGGTCCGGATCCGCCGCTGCTTCCGCTTCTCGTTGATGCCCGACGGGTCCGAGAAGAATTTGTAGGGCACTGGGGAAGGAGAGGTGGGGGTGAGCGGGGCCGGGCAGGCTGGGCAGGGCAGGCAGAGATGCAGCGGGCAGAGCACACAGGACAGGATGCACCAGGCGGGACAGGCGAGGTGCACCGGGCGGGTCACAGGGGGGGAAGGAGAGGTGGGGGTGAGCGGGGCCGGGCAGGCTGGGCAGGGCAGGCAGAGATGCAGCGGGCAGAGCACACAGGACAGGATGCACCAGGCGGGACAGGCGAGGTGCACCGGGCGGGTCACAGGGGATGCATGGGCAGGAACACACTGGGCAGAGGCAGAGCGCACCAGGCAGAGTGCCCTGGGCAGGGCAGGCAGGACACACCAGGCAGAGGCAGCGTGCACTGGGCAGGATGGGCAGGGACGCAGCGGTCAGAGCGCACCAGGCGGGATGGTCAGGGATGCACCAGGCGGGACGGGCAGGGATACACTGGGCAGGACAGACAGGGATGCTCTGGGCAGAGCGCACCAGACAGGACAAGCAGGGATGTACCGGGCAGGACGGGCAGAGTGCACCGGGCAGATCACATTGGGCAGGATGGGCAAGGGTGCTCTGGGCATGATGGGCAGCGTGCACTGGGCAGGACAGGCAGAATGCACCGGGCAGATCACACTGGGCAGGGCAGACAGGGATGTGCTGGCAGGATGGGCAGTGCGCACCAGCCAGGATGGGCAGGGATGCTCCAGGCAGAGCATACTGGGCAGGGATGCTCTGGGCAGGGATGCTCTGGGCAGGACGGGTAGGGATGCGCCGGGCAGGGATGTGTCAGGCAGGATGGGCAGGGATGCTCCAGGTAGAGTGCATCAAGCAGGATGGGCAGGGATGTGCTGGGCAGGGATGCTCTGGGCAGGACGGACAGGGATACTCCAGGCAGAGCACACCAGGCAGGACGAGCAGTGATGCACGGGGCAGGGATGCTCTGGGCAGGATGGGCAGAGCACACCAGGCAGAGTGCACTGGGCAGGATGGGTATGGATGCACTGGGCAGGATGGGTAGCATGCACCCGTT